TATTTATTTATTTATTATGTTTATTACTAAACATGCTAAAAAACAATTTTTACTATTATTATCATTTGTCCTGTTGTTTTGGATCATTGGTTTGTTTACTTTTAAGAAAAGCATTATTATTATTAAAAATAAAGCATTGTGTGTTTAATTCAATCGACAATTGAGTTGATTATTTGTTTATTACTCAAAATGCTTTGATCATGTCTATATGCTCATTTTGCAAAGCTGGATTGCAAGCTTCGTAAATCTTGACTTTAACACTTACTTTGATCAAACCCGCTCATATAATTATTGAATAATTGATAAAACGTCCGTTTTGCAAACTCAATTTGCAAGTTCATAGACCTCTTACTTCGATCAAACCCGCCTATATGATTATTGAATAATTGATAAAACGTTTATTTTAAAAACTTGATTTACGAACTTCTTGATCTTGTATTTAACACTTACTTTGATTGCACCAATACAGACTATTGAATAATTGACAAACGTTCTGTAATTTTTATTGTGTAATCCTGTGTAATTAAAAAAAAAAAAAAATTCAATAGAATAGAATTTGTCCAATGAAATGCTGTAAACTGTATATACCCCATGCATAACTTGATGCAAGGCTCATTTTTCCCATTACTAGTACTCTCTTGGGGTAAGACATGCAATGGCAACCCATGTGACTCACTTAAATGTGTTATCAAAAGTCCAGAAAGTGAGAGAATGGAACCCTTGCTGGTGGATCATTCTGGGTGTATTGACCTTTCATGACATGACCTCTCTTTTGTCAATTGTTTATTTTACTTAAAATATTTAGAAGGAAACAAAAAAAAAAGATAAAATTCGTTAATTGATTTGATTGGTTACATTTGTAATATATGAAGATCCATCAATTATGAGAAGGCATTATTATTATAGCAACAAGTAGCAAACAACAATGAATCATCATTTTTTGAGGATGATAATAAAAATTAAGATTCGATTTTGTTGCATGAAAATATTCAAGCTTTTCCAAAAAAAAAAAAAAATGGGGACGGCCGTCCTATTTATATGTCTTGGATTTAATAAATAGACTACTGTCTTGGCCCGAGTGATGTCATTTTTTTGCTCTTTACGGCAATCCCAAACCCGACTTAAAATAAATGTTTTTTGTTTTCGCGTTGAATGGTGTGCGTAATTTGTAACATGAAAAGCAAAAGCTCACATTGCGTTCTCAGTTGTGAGCTTGTAATTGTTAACAACAATGAATCATCATTTTTTGGGATAATAATAAAGATTAAGATCCGATTTTGTTACATGAAAATATTCAAATTTTTTAAAAAAAAGTGGGGACGGCTGTTCTATTTATATGTCTTGGATTTAATAAAATAGACTACTGTCTTGGCCTGAATGATGTCGTTTTCTATGAAGAAGATGCAATCCCAAACCCGACTTAAAATAAATGAATTTTTGTTCTCGCGTAACATGGTGCGCGTGATTTGTAACACGAAAACCATAAGCTCGCATTGCGTTCTCAGTTGTGAGCTTGTTATTATTATGTTTGTTAACATATATAAAAGAAGAAAAGGTTGCCGTGTTACGGTGCCCTACTAAATGTCGTAATTTTTTATATTTTGTGTAATATTTCCCCTTTTTATTTTTTTTCTTATTTTTTGTATCTAACGACTTTGCCCAATTTTGAAATGTTTTGTTGCGCAGGAAATAATTCATTTTTAAAGAATATTCTGTTCAGTTCAGTTCAGTTACGATACGAATTAGCACGAATATTCTAAACGTTCCTGTTTCTCAACTTTGGTAAACTGAATTTTTGGGGAAGGATGTGATCAAAATCAAAGGTAAAACTTTGTGATGAGTCGTTTTTTTTTTCTTTGCTACGCTGGCTTGAAATGATTTGCAAATTGATTTGAAATTTGTTAATTAATAAAATTGAAATTTGAACAGAAATATTTTCGTTTTCCAAAAAAATGATAAATGGTTGTGGTTATTTTACGTCACCGTATCGTGTGAGTCCCAATTGTTATCTGTTTGTCATGATTGTGAAACTGAAAAGCTTATCTGTTTTGGTTCAAAACGTCAGGGTTGGGCGAAAGAGATATTTGACCAAAAGGAAATCGTGTTTCGCTTTAGATGTTTTTTGCGTGGTGTCAACCGCTGTCTACCGTTAGGTTTTCGTCTTGCTCCAACGTTTCGGACCGTTCAAAATGACCAAAAACTGATGGTCTTGTCTTGGAACCTTTACCTCGGATTGTCAAAGGCTTGTCACACAACGTGTTAGTGACATTTTCTGGTCACGAGACCGGGGTTCAAAAACGTTTTATTTCGTTTTGTCAATTTAAAAAAAAATGAATCGATAAACAAAACAATATCTGCAAATTTTTTTTGATTGTTCGTGTTGAATTAAAAAACTTTGACCATTTGAGAGAGATGGTGGGTGATCTGGATAAGAAAAAACTTTGATTTTGACCATTTGAAGGATAGTGGATGATCTGATTTCCTTTTGGAGAAAACAATAAAATCGTTGATTAATGAAAAAATTTCCTTTCGGGAAAAACAAATAAAATACGTCGATTGATTAAGAAAAAAAAAAAGCTTAGTTGATTGTTTTTAAAACAATCGAAAATTGTAAATGACTTTTGATGTTTGCATAAAGCTTATTCTTCTATAGCGATAGACGAAAAAAAAACACGAGGAAAAGATCAGGACAAAAGATTTTAATAATCGAAATCTGCAAATGGCTTTTGATTCACACGAGGGTTCTTCTTTGCGAAGGATCTTTTTTTCTTTTAATTAAGAAAAAAAAAAAGCTTGGTTGATTTTTTTAACAATTGAAATTTATTCTTTTATGGAATAACAACCATTTCATTGGATTAACTTTATTCCATAATTTTTATTTGTGTAATCTAAAAAAAAAATAAAATTAAACAGAAAAAGTAAACTGTTATATACAAGACGTATGACGACATACGAAACTTCAAAACAAGTTTGTAAAATATACTGATGACGTTTATCAATTATTGAATAGCTTGTATCGAAATAAGTGTTAAAAGTCAAGATCTATGAATGAATCAGTTTGTAAAATATATTTAATGAGCGCTTTATCAATTATTCAAATAATTATATAGACGGGCTTGGTAGAAGTAAGTGTTAAAGTCAAGAATCTATTTGCAAATCAAGTTTCCAAAATGAACGTTTATTATTATAGGCGGGTTTGATCAAAGTAAGTCTTAAAGTCGAGATCTACGAAGCTGTTTGTAAAATATATTTAATTAACGTTTTGTTATTATTATCAATTATTCAATAACTATATAAGCGGGTTTGATCGGACAAGATCTATATAATTAGATTGTTAATAGTTAATAATGGAATTTTATTATATGCAAAAAAAATTTTTTTTGAGTTGTAAATTTTGTTTTATTAAATAAATTTGTTGGATTTTTTCATACATCGTTCATATATCTTAAATTGGTCGCGTTTACAATCATTTTGACATTCGTTATATTAATTATATCGAGAGATATGGCCAAGAGAAGAGTTAGGAAGAGAGTTATTCTTCAATCAAGTCGAAAACCAACCCTTTAAATACATTTTCGAGTAGTACGGTTTAATTTATTAGACTATTTCAAATGGTTGCTTCCAACTTCTTAAATTCGAACCATTTGTTAACGAAAAAACTGTTGGTGAAGTGATTGTTGACAAAATGAATCAATGTTTTATGTTAACGTTTATTTTTACGTTATCAAATTCAGGATTTTGGTTGGTCGATCAACAATTGCGTGGGTTAAAATTTTGTGTTATCAGAACGGTCTCTCCTATTATATGTAATGAATGATTGAATCAATTGAATCGTGTATTTTTGTTATTGTAATGCTATGAAACACTTGGCGCAGTGGTATTTTTATTTTTTGACATCTTGTATAATGTTGTATAATGATAAATGATTTCATGGTTTGAATGTGCTCACCATCTGTAAACTTGATTGCTTGAAGATGGACAGGGACATTGAGTTCTGTGCGCTGAAATGGCCTGAGAGGAATTTCTCTACAAAAAAAAACGAAAAAAAAATGTGGGGACGGCCGTCCTATTTATATTTTTTTTGAATTGATAAAATAGACTCTTATTGTTTTGACCTGAGTGATGTCGTTGTGTGAGTAAAGGACACGAAGCTCACTGTCATGTTTTCGTTTAAAAACTTGTTATCTAGATTAAAAAAGTCTTTTAAAAAACCCGGATCTATAAATATAGATCCGGTTAGATTGAGTACAAGTGAGTTTTTTCCGGAACAAACTTCAAGCCCTGCTCTTATTATTACTCCAACACCGATAATAAATATATGGTCACCACTACCAACCAGTACATATAAAGAATTAAAATTAAAAACATTGCCTTCTATACATGCGCATATATGATGAATGAATGTGTTTTGGCAACATTTTTAATTAGAATTGGGAACTGTATCCATTCATAATACAATTTTGTATTCGAATGATTCGCTTGAGTTGTTTGATTTGTTTGATTTGTTCGATTCAAATCATTTGAATCGTTCGATTTTATTCATTTACTTTGATTGTCTGAAATCCTCATTTATTCAGTTTGTTCAAGTTCGTTTAAATTGCTTGAACTATGGTGCGTATCACCTATACTCATCAAAAAATGCCGATCAGTCCGAATTTTTGAATGTATATCTTAACCTTATTTGGTCAAAAAAAAAAATACTATCACATGGGTTTTTAACAGTGTAAAAGCTAATTTTACTCATAATAAAGAATACAATCAATTAATTCTAATTTTGTTCAATTCTTCTATTTCTCCATCTGTAATTCTCCTATGGGATTTATATTTTTTGACAGCATATTCTGCCAATTTACCATTAATTCCTTTTCTGTATAGATCCATATAGCACCAGCACTTTCTTGAAAATCTTCTAATTGTAATTAAAGGTACTGATTCAAGGCTCTCAGGCACTGCTTTTTGTAATC